AGTTTTTCAGGTTTTTTTCCCCACAATTCTTATCCGGACGTTCCTGTCCATCATTTACCGATCGTTTCATCCCAGCCCATATATACTGACCAGCCATTACATAATGACCACCCACCATAACCCGTCCAGGCGTGGACTCCGCTAGGCCTCTGGAGGAATGCCGTGGTATCTGATTTGGCATCAAGCCACCAGTAGCAGATCCTTTAGGGCCTGTAAGTTGGGAGGTGGAGCCTCCATGGATCGGTTCCTCAAACCATTCTTGAATTCAACAGACCAGGCAACCTTCTTCCATTGCTCCATAGCTCAGTTCTGATGCTCATGTACCCATTGTAGACACTTTCGGTTTTGGACACGGGCCAGCATGAGCACCCTGACCAGTTTGCAGCTACCCAGCCCCATACACAACAGACTGCGAAAGCTCTGTGTGTTCTGACACCTTTCTATCAGAACCAACATTCACTTTTTCACCAATTCGAGCTCAAGTAGCTCTTCTATTGGATCGAACTACACGGACCAGCCTTTCCTCCCACCTCCATCAATGAGCCTTCCCTCCCCACTTCCGTCAATGAGCCTTCCTTCTCCACCTCCATCAATGAGCCTTCCCTCCCCACCTCCATCAATGAGCCTTCCTTCTCCACCTCCATCAATGAGCCTTCCTTCTCCACCTCCATCAATGAGCCTTCCCTCCCCACCTCCATCAATGAGCCTTCCCTCCCCACCTCCATCAATGAGCCTTCCCTCCCCACTTCCATCAATGAGCCTTCCTTCTCCACCTCCATCAATGAGCCTGCCCCCACCCCACTTCATCAATAACCCCCCACCTCCATCATAAGCCTTCCCCCCCTCCATCAATTAGCCTTCCCTCCTCATATCCATCATTGATGGGCCAGCCTTCCGTACTAGCTCCATCAATTAGCCTTCCCTCCCCACTTTCATCTATGAGCCCCCCCCGCTTTCATCTATGAGCCCCCCCCACTTTCATCTATGAGCCCCCCCTCCACTTTCATCTATGAGCCTTCCCTACCCACCTCCATCAATGAGCCTTCCCTCCCCCACCTCCATCAGTGAGCCTTCCTTCTCCACCTCCATCAATGAGCCTTCCCTCCCCACCTCCATCAATGAGCCTTCCCTCCCCACCTCCATCAATGAGCCTTCCCTCCCCACCTCCATCAATGAGCCTTCCCTCCCCACTTCCATCAATGAGCCTTCCTTCTCCACCTCCATCAATGAGCCTGCCCCCACCCCACTTCATCAATAACCCCCCACCTCCATCATAAGCCTTCCCCCCCTCCATCAATTAGCCTTCCCTCCTCATATCCATCATTGATGGGCCAGCCTTCCGTACTAGCTCCATCAATTAGCCTTCCCTCCCCACTTTCATCTATGAGCCCCCCCCACTTTCATCTATGAGCCCCCCCCCACTTTCATCTATGAGCCCCCCCTCCACTTTCATCTATGAGCCTTCCCTACCCACCTCCATCAATGAGCCTTCCCTCCCCCACCTCCATCAGTGAGCCTTTGCCCCCTCCCCCCCTTCCCCCATGACCTTGTCTCTGGTTGGCCAGCTCTCCTTCTTTGGATCACTTTTGGTCGGTCCTGACCACTGCAGACCAGAAACATCCCACAAGAGCTGCAGTTTTGGAGTTGCTCTGACCCCGTCGTCTACACATATTATTATCCTTGTCAAAGTCCCTCAAATCCTTTAGACTTGTCCATTTTTTCTATTTTCAACACATCAACGGAATATATCCCACATAATTCAGCTATTTTATGGTGTTCTGGGCACTAGGAACCAGATTGATTGAGGCACCAGACACATCTGCTGCCCCCTTTGTGGGTGCTCTTCAGCATGGCTTTTATGACGAAACTGTTCTTGGTTGAGCTGTCGTACACTTTCTTCTCTCGTTTCGGGAGATTTAGATGTCTTCTCCGAGCCAATTGGAAAGAATTAATAATTCAGTCTGGAATCTGGGAACCATCAGTGCAATGTAAACACGGGACAAAGGCAGAGAAGAGCGCCTGGTGGATGAGGAGTACACACTGTGCCCGGATACTCTGGTCTTCCATATCTATGTGGAAAGGTAGTTTTTCATCGCCCAATATTCACCCCGGAAATGTGCAGTTGGCAGATGTTTTGAATGTTAAATATATTTCAGATATATTAGAGACATACAGGCACAAGAGTGGTTCAGGTTTGTGATTCATGAGTTCTACAAGACTTTGAGAACAAGGTGTGACTTCATGTACCGTATTTTTCTCATATACAGCAGAGCTCACTACGTTTGACATAGAACTGGGATAAGTTGGGATCTGGTTGGGGTGGGAGAAATGTTCACAGCTTTGGGTTAGAGTAGACTGGTCCAATGGTAGCATTTATGGAGGACATTGGCCTGCTTCAGGTTGTTGTAGAAGTGGTAGATCTAGCTCTGCTTTGGGAGAGAGGAATATTGTTTGAATGGGTGAGATGGGCCTGGCTAGCCATGACTAAACGTTTGTGGTCTTCTGACCACCACATCTATGGGAGGATATCCCATTCTTTATGGTCATTACTATGGATTTGGCCGCTCCCCCCCATGGTTGTTAATATGGAGTTGCCCCCTTTGTAGCTAAATAACCCTCTACTCTTCTGGCAGGACTTTTTACCAGGTTTTTGGAGGATGTCTGTGAGAATTTGTACCCATTTGTGAGGTCAGGTACTAATATTGGATGAAAAGGCCTGGTTCCTCTAAGAATTCCAGTTCATCCCCAGATTTTCAGTAGATTTGAGGTCTGGGCTCTGTGTAGGACTCTTGAGTTTCTCCACACCAAACTGGTCCAACCATGTCTTTATGGAAATGGCTGCACCCTTCTGGGAAGGCTTCCCATAATCTGTACTCATTTGTGAGGTCGGAATGTTGAATGAGAAGACCTGGCTCACACACTGGGCCTCATGTTGGGCACTTAAAAAAACACCTGTTCACCATCAGCATTCCAGTCATAAAGGTGTTCAGTACGGTTGAGGTCAGGGCTCTGTGCAGGACTCTTTAGTTTCTCCATACCAAACTGGTCAAACCATGTCTTTATCGAGCTGGCTCTTCTCTTTTGGAAAGGCTTCCTACAAAATTGTGGCGTATGTTAGGGAAAAAGAACATTTGTGAGTTCAGGTACTGAAGCTGGATGAGAAGGCCTGGCTCACCATCAACCTTCTGATTCATCCCAAAGGTGTTCAGTAGGGTTGAGGTCGGGGCTCTGTACAGGACTCTCCAGTTCTTCCACACCAAATAGGTCAAACCATGTCTTTATAAAGCTGGCTTTGTGCACAGGGGACAGTCATGGGGGGACAGAAAAGGGTCTTCACCAAACTGTTAACACAAGGCTGGAAGAGCCCAATTGTCTTCAATGTCTTTGTAAGATGACCCTTCACTGGAGACACCTGACCTCCATCATTGGGAGGGGAATCCTCATACTTTAGGCCATATAGTGTATTGATTTGAACTTTGAGAAATGGGTTACAAAGCTAGGATGTCAGAATTGGACTTCGGCTTTTCATGTGAAGGACACTGATCTAGCTTCACGTTTATTGTTCAGGTGCAAGGGAGCTGAAATAATCTATAAATTTGTGTCATGGTTTGTGTGTCATTTTCTCATGTGAGAGAAAATTGGGTTCTGCTTTGGGGTAAAGAGTCAATAATGAACCCTTTCCATCATAGTGTAGCAATGTCTGACATCCCCAGGGTGTAGGTGTAGCCATTGTCCGGTCTCTGGTGCTCTCTGGTCTCTCCTGGATGTAGAGTTTAGCTGGTAGTGGAGGAACTTTGAACTGTTCATCCAGCAAAGAAGTGTGAAGTGTCTCTCAGCAGCCGTCAGCGGCCTCTCCACCGCAGTGCCAGACATACTGTGGACTGTAATCACCTCTCTGTGCGCGTCCCATCCTTTGCTCCGGCACTGTGATGACCGGTGTGTGGGGGTCATTGAGGCACTCTTCTTGGAGGTGGTCCAAGGTAGTGTGATCCGTCTCAGGAGATGCTCTTTGGTTTAAAACTGGAAAAAATAGAAACTTTAAAAACTCGTTTGGCTTATTTTCATATTTATCTTTTTTTGTTTACAAGCAGAAAATATATATAGATATACCCGGTATAATGGGTTATAGGGGACTCATGAATGGTTGTCACCTGTTCTGTCTGTCCTCATATTCTCCCCCCACCCCCCTAGTGTGCTGCACCTCCAACCTATACAGAGGAGATCCCGCCATAATTGAGTTTGAGGATTCTGGTCTCCTGCCAGCCCCCGATCAGGGTGGAGATCCGCGGACTTCTGCATTTCTGTGTAAATCTGGAGAGTGCAGTCCTAGCTGTGACACCTTTGTCTGACCTGTACAAGGAGACTCTGTGTTCTGTTATTACTGAACCTTCCAAATGAGGCCTCCACCACCCCTTACTATAAAGACTCTTCTGGGGACTGAGGAAAGGCCATCAGTGGGCTGCTCATGGTGTCCGGGAACAACTGCACTTACTGTGATAGAGACAGAAGGTCCTCTCAGGGGTGGAGTCCCCCTCCCGTCTGTTACATGGAATCCACACTGTTTGCAATACCATCATTTGTTTAATGGTGTTTTCTTGTAAATGTCGTATTTTATTGTATCAATATTTACCTGAATGTTATAAATAGACCAGTCATTGTGTACAGGTGTATGAGGAAATGTCACATTACTACACAGTGATAGCTCCATGTATGGTGGATGCTGGAGAGACCTCCTGACAGTGTCTTCTGTCTCCCAGGGCCCTATCGGTGGGATCTGTATGCCTGCTGTACCCATTATGAGGAGTTCCCACCATCCCTGTGCTGAGTTCCCAGGTCTGTACACCCGCTGTGCCCATTATGAGGGGTTCCCACTATCCCTGTGCACCTTCTGTGTCCATTATGAGGGGCTCCCACTATCCATGTGCCGAGTTTCTGGGTCTGTACATCCGCTGTGCCCATTATGAGGGGCTCCCACTATCCCTGTGCACCTTCTGTGTCCATTATGAGGGGCTCCCACTATCCATGTGCCGAGTTCCTGGGTCTGTACACCCGCTGTGCCCATTATGAGGGGCTCCCACTATCCATGGGCCGAGTTCCTGGGTCTGTACATCCGCTGTGCCCATTATGAGGGGTTCCCACTATCCCTGTGCACCTTCTGTGTCCATTATGAGGGGCTCCCACTATCCATGTGCCGAGTTCCTGGGTCTGTACATCCGCTGTGCCCATTATGAGGGGCTCCCACTATCCAGGTGCCGAGTTCCTGGGTCTGTACATCCGCTGTGCCCATTATGAGGGGCTCTCACTATCCATGGGCCGAGTTCCTGGGTCTGTACATCCGCTGTGCCCATTATGAGGGGGTCCCACTATCCATGTGCCGAGTTCCTGGGTCTGTACACTCGTTGTGCCCATAATGAGGGGTTCCCACTATCCCTGTGCGCCTTCTCTGTCCATTATGAGGGGTTCCCACCATCCCTGTGCCGAGTTCCTGGGCCTGTACACTCGTTGTGCCCTCGTTGTGATGTTGGTGTTGCGTATGTTATTTGTGGCTGTCCCTTGTTTGATTGAAGTTCCTTCATTCCGGCGTACACCTGTGTGGGGAGATCCTGACTAGTGAAGTGTGCCGATAAACTGGTATGACTGGTTCGGCTATTTAAAGCAACCCGCTCTTCTTCCCGGAGCTTCTATTTTTACTGGAATGTCTAGTTTCCACTCTTTGGTGCAGAAGTTTGCGGTGGGTTGTGCGTCCGCCCCGGGACGCCACTCTGTGCTGCTGACATCTAGACTTTGTCATTCCCCAACACTGAGTAATGGGGTGACCTCCTCCCCGCTGCTGGTATCTCTCCAAAGTTCTGGTGTCACTGGTGATAACCGGCACAAGGGAAGCCCAGATACCCGGAGTACCGGAGTAAATAACAACTGAACCTATATTACTATGGGTCAAAAGAGTGCAAAGCATAAACTTTAGGGGCCAGGACTAAGTAACATATCAAAGTTATGGATGTAGATTAAATAATGCACAGAGCTCAGGGTAAGCAACGCAGAGAGTTCAGGGGTCAAGGAAACGCAGAGAGTCCAGGGGTCAGGGTCAAGGAACGCAGAGAGTCCAGGGGTCAGGGTCAAGGAACGCAGAGAGTCCGGGGTCAGGGTCAAGGAACGCAGAGAGTCCAGGGGTCAGGGTCAAGGAACGCAGAGAGTCCAGGGGTCAGGGTCAAGGAACGCAGAGAGTCCAGGGGTCAGGGTCAAGGAACGCAGAGAGTCCAGGGGTCAGGGTCAAGGAACGCAGAGAGTCCAGGGGTCAGGGTCAAGGAACGCAGAGAGTCCAGGGGTCAGGGTCAAGGAACGCAGAGAGTCCAGGGGTCAGGGTCAGGGAACGCAGAGAGTCCAGGGGTCAGGGTCAGGGAACGCAGAGAGTCCAGGGGTCAGGGAACGCAGAGAGTCCAGGGGTCAGGGAACGCAGAGAGTCCAGGGGTCAGGGAACGCAGAGAGTCCAGGGGTCAGGGTCAGGGAACGCAGAGAGTCCAGGGGTCAGGGTCAGGGAACGCAGAGAGTCCAGGGGTCAGGGTCAGGGAACGCAGAGAGTCCAGGGGTCAGGGTCAGGGAACGCAGAGAGTCCAGGGGTCAGGGTCAGGGAACGCAGAGAGTCCAGGGGTCAGGGAACGCAGAGAGTCCAGGGGTCAGGGGACGCAGAGAGTCCAGGGGTCAGGGGACGCAGAGAGTCCAGGGTCAGGGAACGCAGAGAGTCCAGGGGTCAGGGTCAGGGAACGCAGAGTGTTCAGGGGTAAGTAACAACCAGAGCAGTCCACAAATGCACAGCAGGACAATTGGCCTCCAGTGACGCCATTTTTGAACTGGCACTTGCACAGTGTGACAAGTTGGAGCCATGCACTGCACAATTTATGGTGCCCGACTCCCTGGGTCAAATCTGGGGGCGTTCATTTCCCAAGGACAGATCCGTCACAAAAGGGACTATGCCTGGGAAACGGGGACAAATGGGATCCTCAGTCTGGTCATATTGTGGAAGAATGCCGCTAAGCGTTCCCTTGTGACGTTCTGTGCAGTAAATATCCGATCTGTCCGTACATATGGTGTTGTCATGAATGGAGGACACATAGTAACATCTCTATATTACATAACAGCCTCATCTGTGCGGTGACACCTCCCCGATTAGTAAATGAAATGTTCCTCGGGGTTCCTGTAATTTGGAACCATCTAAAGGTCAATAACCCAGATTTATAATACAGATTACATACCACAGCTATTAGTAACACCGCAATGCTGCAGGACTGCATAAACATCGGATCCCGAGGGGAAGGATTCCCCTGCCGTACACATCACTTCCTGTCAGTCATTCTACCGAAGTTGTCATTTTGGCATTTTTTTTTGTATGAACTTCCTTACAGTACCGGTAACCCCAATCAGTACAATCTCATATAAGCTTTAAAAGTCATTTTCAAACATTTTAAATGTGCAGCTGTGATTAAAATAATCCCTAGTGATCCTGCCACGGAGGTCCGTATTTCTGGTAGAGGGTGACAACACCCTGTCCTTGTCTCCCAGTCGTGCTCTGGCGTTGTCACCCTGTCACATGGGATTCTGATAGACACTTCACAGGCATGGTCTACGGTTGTCACCACCCCATCCTGAGAAATGTCGCTGGAGTGCATGCAGTCACGAAGTGGCTGCAAAGAGGCCGCAGAAGATCATCAGCACTGATTTGTAACAAATGATTTAATTTAACAACCTGACAAATGTTCTTGATACTCGGAGCAGACTACATGACATCCAGTTCAGATTTACATCTACATGTAGCCAGCGTGACTCAGGAGGACAATAGATTGGCCCAGGCAATGTCAGTACAACAGAAGCAGTGACTGCAGTTTTTCCCCCGAGCTGTTCTGTGGTTTCCTGCATGGAGGTGACCTTTGTCCTCGCTGTGGGACAATGCAGAGAGCAGGTTGTGTTTTTTTGCTCGTCCTCCCGTTTGCGGTCGGTCGGATCCCACGTGTCGTGCGCACACACGCGGTGCGGGAAGAGTTAGTCAGACTTTGAGTGGTGGGAATGGCACACTCTGACTAACAATAGCGCACAGGTGCCAGTGGGCTGACGGGAGGCTTTTATGTTCGTTCCCCGGGACGGCGCTCTCAGGACGTACTGTACGCACAGCTCCATTTTACAGGAACAAAACCTCCGGTTGGAGCCGATTGTACAGGCAGGATTAGGTGTGCGTGGGTCGGAAACAAAACGCCAACAACAGCCCGCCGCTGTGCACAGTTTGGGTGGAGGAGGACGTCCCCGCCGAGGACGCAGATGAACCTGCTTTAAGGATTTGCCTTCTTTTTCCCTTCTGGAAACTTTCTATTCAGCGTTCGATGGAGATCAAATATTTCAGGAACATGAAAAAAGGCTGCCCAGGGATCAGCTTCCATCGAGGCCTAACCCAGGATCAGGTCACTGTTCTGAGCTTCTTTCGGAGATATAAAAGATATGGAGAACAATGTAACCACGATATAATGACCGAATACACAGAGAGATCCAAAATGATACAAATAGATCTGTATATAAAGTATAATATCCAGGAGGAGCCCACAGTCCCCACTCATAAATCATATAAGATATAAAACATGGAGAACAATGTAACCACAATATAATGACCGAATACACAGAGAGATCCAAAATGATACAAATAGATCCGTATATAAAGTATAATATCCAGGAGGAGCCCACAGTCCACTCATAATCATATAAGATATAAAACATGAAACAATGTAACCCCAATATAATGACCGGAATACACAGAGAGATCCAAAATGATACAAATTAGATCTGTATATAAAGTATATCACCCAGGAGGAGCCCACAGTCCACTCATAAATCATACAAGATATAAAACATGAACAATGTAACCCCAATATAATGACGCAATACACAGAGAGATCCAAAATGATACAAATAGATCCGTGTATAAAGTATAATATCCAGGAGGAGCCCACAGTCCACTCATAAATCATACAAGATATAAAACATGAACAATGTAACCCCAATATAATGACCGGAATACACAGAGAGATCCAAAATGATACAAATAGATCTGTATATAAAGTATATACCCCAGGAGGAGCACACAGCCCGCTCATAAATCATATAAGATATAAAAATATGAACACAATGTAACCCCAATATAATGACCGCAATACACAGAGAGATCCAAAATGATACAAATAGATCCATATATAAAGTATAATATCCAGGAGGAGCCCACAGTCCGCTCATAAATCATATAAGATATAAAACATGAAAATCAATGTAAATCCAATATAATAATGACCGCAATACACAGAGAGATCCAAAATGATACAAATAGATCCGTGTATAAAAGTACATCACCCAGGAGGAGCCCACAGTCCGCTCATAAATCATATAAGATATAAAACATGAACAATGTAACCCCAATATAATGACCGCAATACACAGATGGATACAATTGATATAATTAGATCCATATATAAAGTATATCACCCAGGAGGAGAACAGACAGGCCCCATACACTAAATCTTCTCTACAGGAAATATAGGATAAAGAAGACTTGGAGAACAATGTAATCCCCATATAATGACAGATACAAATGATACTATTAGATCCATATATAAAGTATAACATCAGGAGGAGCACAGACATCCATTCATAAATCTTCTTCATAGGAAATCTAACATCTAGAAGACGTAAAGAGAGCAATATAATGACTAGAATACTCTGACAGATCTAAAAATAATACAATTAGATGCGTATATAAAATATATTATCCAGGAGGAGCCCAGACAGTCCACATACAGTCCACTCATAAATCATAGAAGATATAGAGAACAAGGAAACTCAATGTAATGATGGGAATAAACAGATCCAAAATGACACAACTGGATCCATTTATAGGTTCGCATCAAGAGGAGCCCAGACAGTCCACAGACATTCATAAAGGAAATCTAAGATCCAGAAGACGTAAAGAACAATGTAACCGTAATATAATGACTGGAATACTCTGACAGATACAAAATGATCCAATTAGAACCGTATATAAAGGGTAACCGATACAACGGACATCCCGGGAGGAGCCCAGACACACCCACATACACTCAGAAGTCTTCTGTAGGAGATACGAGATATAGCAAATGTGGAGAACAATGTAACTCCAATATAATTCACAGAATACCCAGACAGGTATAAATGATACAATTAGATTTCTATATGACGTATAACACGCAGGAGGAGCCCAGACAGTCCACATACGTTCATAAATAGCGGCACAGACAGACTTTGGGGGCGTGTCCTCCTGTGCGTTCTAGCGACGCAGTGTGCCCCAAACTCACGTCCCCGTCTAGAACTTAAATGGAAACGCAGTACAGTACTTTTATAAA